CTTGCGGAGGGCGAGCTTGGCGGCCGCCTGGGAGTTGGCGGCGTCGTTGAGGGCGCTGGGGCTGGGGAGCGGCGACGACACCCTGTTCACTGTGCCGGGCTGGATGTGAGAGGCAAGGTTCATATAGATGGCTGAAGACGACGTACGCTGGCAAGGAACTGAAGAACTTGATTGCTGGGGAGGAAAAAGAGGAGAATTAGAGCAGAAAATTAACGTGGACGCCCGGTTACAACTTTTCTGTAGGGGGTGGTGGGTTTTTTTTAAGAGCAAACACATCATTAGGTTTGTCTGACCCTTGTACAGGTGGGTGGCTTTCAGGCTGTGTGCAGCCGTGTTTATCACTCACAAATCTGCCTCGTTTGGGGAGATGAAACAGCTTAAAAACCCCAAAAGGGAAAAAAAAAAAAGAGGGGTTGTTAACCTGGGCTTGCCCAGGAATAAAGGCTGTTCGAAAGGTTTCTTCATTTTAAGTAGGAGTGGGAAGTGTTTTGTTGGTTTGGTGGTTTTTTTCTCCTGTTTCCATTCTTTAGGGAACTCTTTCCGTTCTTCCAAAAATGAACGGTGGCTTTAAGGGTTGGGCAGAAATAGAAAAGCCCCGTGGGAGGAGGAAGCAGACCCGCTGACGAACCGGTCGCTTCACTTCCCTGGGGGGGTCCTGGTGTTGCTGACAGGAGGAACAGCAGCTCCAACCAGGAAGTTTTTATTTTTCCACGATTTTGTAGAATCACAGAAAGGTGAAGGTTGGAAGGGACCCCCCTGCTCTCTCACCAGCCCAGGTTGCTCCAAGCCTTGTCCAACCCTTCCAGGGATGGGGCATCCACACCCTCCCTGGGCAGCCTGGGCCAGGGCTTCACCACCCTCACTTTTTCCCTAATTTTTTCCTTATATCTCCTCTAAATCTCACCTCTTGCAGATTTCCCATTTCGCTCTTCCACGCAGGTCGACGCCGCCCGTCTCCATCGACGCTCGAGATGGATTCCCAACCCTCGAGATGGATTTCCACCCCCCCAGTGCCTTCAGGCTGCCCCTTTTCCCTCCTCGCTCGCCCCACGACCGTGCCCGAAACCCCGTGAGAGCCCCGTCACGCACCGGTTGGTAGTTGATGGCTGGGTTCATGCTGGGCGTGGTGGTGCGGATGAGGCCGGGTTTCGGCGGAACCCGCTGCCCTTGCAACTGGGCCGGGTTCGGGGCGATCACGCGCTGCGACATGAGCATGTGGGGCAGAGTCGTGTTCGTGGCGGATCGAATGACGCTGTGACCCTGTGGGGGAAAGGAAAAGAGAAATAAATCAATGCAAAAACGAAATGGATTTGAAGCGAAGCGGCTTTTTCAGCTCCCTGATCAGCTCTGCAGCAGTTTCTCCAGGTAACGTGCAAAGAACTTCAACTTTTCCTCTAATGTTCCTTCATTTCATCATCGCAGCCATTTCAGCTGGAGGAAGGATGTCTCAGGTACCACACTTGTATTATTTTGTGTAGTTATTGTATATTTTCTGTTGAGAGGCTGGAATGGCAGCCGAGGGAAGCGAAGCGATCTCGCGGAGCAAGCACTTCCCAGGACGAGGACGGACCTCCTGGCTCGTGGCTGGGATGGTTCAGAAGGTAATTTTCAATTTATTTGCGTTAAAACCAACCGCGTCGATTTGGAAAAACACCAGGGGAAAAAAAGAGGGGATTGAAAAAAAGAGCAAGGAGGCCGTCTGCCAGCTGCACGGAGTTATTAAAACCAGAATTCACGCCGGTGCCGGAGTTCAAAGTGAAAAAACTGTTCCGAACCTCCGTCCCAGGTGGCCAGAAACACGACCTGAGGATGAGGAGGACCCAAACCGGGGGTGGACCTGCCCGGGTTTCTCCTCATTCTCGGCTAACAGCAAGGGGAGAGGCAGAAGGGCTCCATTTTTTTTTGTAGGAGTGATCTTAAACGATTAAACACCTCCTGGCAACTTTCTTCTGTCCACCTCCCCCCTTTTTTTTCTTTAATTAGGCTTCTTCTAGGCGAGGTTCTTCGCTGTCACACGTAAGAAAAGCTTCACAAAGCCCGTGCAAACAATGCGTTTCCTCTTCTCCTAAAGCCCGTTTCCTTTACCAGCCCGATCCCACTGCGAAGCCACAATAGGCTTGACCCCGAATCCGTTGCCATGGCGAAGAAAACAAATGCCACAAACAAAGAGGATGGTTAAGGGAAGGAGTAAACGATCAGCGGGTCTGAAACGAAGTCTTTTGGCAGCGAGCTGCAGGCAGAGGCACTGGAGGATCACCTCCGTCCCCGTTCACCAGGAATGGCAACCGCGGCACCGTGCTGCGAGATATTGCCAAAACCACCATTTTTTCTCAGCAAACGCGTGTCAGGAAGGCTCACCTGTAATGTCCTTAAGTTCTGAGGCTCGACCCCCTGAGCTCCAGGCCTGGAGGGAAGCTTGGACAGTCCCTGCTGTCCCACGTGAGCAGGAGATGGCTGGACAATAGATGCTGCGTTCTGGACAACCGGAGTCTGGACGGAGAGAAAAGGAGAAGAGATTTCCTCAGAAAGGAAATCCACCAGCAGAGCCTCATCGATCAAACCCTCCAACCTCAGAGCTGCGCAGATTTATCTCCTTGCACCAGGTAGGACGGGCCTTGGATCCGCTATGGACCCACTTTGGTAACTAATATCACCAAGGTGGCGTAAAGGGAGGTTGAAGAGGGGAGTGAGCCTCTGGGTTTGCCCGCTGAGAGGTTTCAGCGAGGCCGAGAACCTTCCCCGTAGCCCTCCCAGCCCCGCAGGAGCTTCACCTTCTGTACCACGTTCTCCTTTTGCAGCTGGCTTTGCCGCAGCTTCTTCAGCAGCACCAGCCTGGCCTCCTCGAGCCGCAGCTCGTCCCGGAGCTGCTTGATGAGCTGCTGCCTCTCCTCGATGCTTTTACCCTACAAAGAGGAAAGAAAGAAGTTAAGAATCAAGCTGAAAGCCCGAAAGGCGGCAAGAGCGCGAGGAAGGTTTAACACAACGCGGATAATCGAGCTGGGTCGTTACGCCCACTGTTCAGGAACACCCTTCGCTCCCGAATCCTTTGGAAAAAAAGCAGAAATTCCCCAAAAAGAGAAGGAGCGGAGCGAGCCCATACCTTAAACATTTCAAGATTCGCCGCCTTAAGTCTCTCCTCCATCCGCGAGCTCGAACGGGGACTGGATGCCTCATTATCGGAGAGGACGATGATATCCGGCGAAGGGGTTAATCGTCCCCTGTCCTGGTCACTGCGTAAGAGGAGGAAAAAAGCAAAATGAAACCAAAACTGAGCAAAACGGAGATATCGGGACCGCAGCATCTTCCGTTTGCAGGAGCGTTCAAAAAAACCCCATTTTTCCACCGGGGTGGAAGGCAGGTTGGGTGAGGAGTAAGCGAAAGCGCGACGTAAACCTCGAGAAGGAAAAAAATAATCTGTGATAACGAGCCACAGAGGAATTAAACTGGGAGATGTAAGTGGGGCTGGATGAGGAGAAGAGGGCCCAGGGGCCGATGCTGCGGCGCGGGGCTGTTGGCACTCCCGGGGGCAGAGCAGCGCGATGCGAACGGGCAGGTTAACAGCAACGCGACTCTCCCGAGCCTATCTGAGCGCAAAGCTCTTTGAGAAGGAAAATCTGAATAAATACCCTGCGCAGAGTCCAAAGAGCCAACTGAACCGTGGCCTAGAAATCAGCAAGCGAAAGGAGCAGCAGCGACAACAGCCCGTCACTGGGAAAAATGATAATCAAGTAAAAAAATCAACGTTGCAATCCAGCAGCAGACAGCCTGGTCTGGGGGATCTCCTCCGGAGCCAACTCGGGGGTTTTCCAGCTGCTCTTCCCTCTCCGGAGCGGAGGATGACGATTCTGGGGTGGCCGGCGGCAGGAGGGTTTCCAGTTGGGGCTGAGTTTCTGCCTCTGTCCCAGCAGAGAAGAGAGAAAATCAGCAGCGAGCCCGTCCGACCAGGTTTGGGATTGTTTGGGATGAGTTCTCGAGCTCCTTCGGGTGCCCGTCTCCAAACTCCTCATGGGACGGCTCGGGAACAAACGCCTCCTGGCTCCAACCCGAGGGACCGAGAGCGATCGAGCACGGGAGGTTTTTCCCCTCCTCTCGCATCCTTGGTTGCAATAAAGCCTCGGATCCAGGGGCAGGGTTTTCCCAACCTCCGGCGTTTGTTTCGCCCCAGCATCCAGCTCGCCGAGCGGTTTTATTTACATTCCGTCGAGGCGGGGGGAGAAGAAAAGCAAAGGCAGCGTCAAAACCAGCCAGGGGAAAGCGGGGCCATCTGCAAAGAATTGCTGAACGTGTCGGCGTTGTTTTATTTACTTTTGTCAAGGGGAGAGTGGAATTACGGCAAAACTACCGTCAGAAGAGTTACGCGGGAGGCGGGCAGGGCTGAGAGCACGTTCCCAAGCCAACCCCACTAGTGACCGGCGTGAAAAATTCCTCTTTCTAGAGAGATTCTTCACGCTCACGTTATTTCAAAACTTGTTGCGCAATTTTTCATTAAAGAAAAATAATCCAAGGGGTTTTCTCCTTCTCGTTTCCAGCACTCCAGGCCCATTCACTTCCGATGCTGGGGATAAGCCCAGGAAAACATTCGTTTTTCTAATATTTACTCTCCTGACAGCACCCAGAAGGGGCCTGAACTGTCCTTGTCAGGGCGGGAGCCCCCCAGGAGCACAGGCAGTGCTCCCTCGTCATCCAAAAGCCACGGCCAACACCAAACCGACCCCGATGCGATGCCTGGATGAAGACAAAACAATCCTGATGATTGTTCGGTGAACAGGGAGAGCGAGGACAGAGATCGCCGGCGACACGCACCCCGTCCCAAAGAGCTGCCCTGAACTTCTCCAGGGAGGGGACATCCACCCGGGGCAGCGCCCCACCGGCCTCGGCGTCAAAAATTTCTTCCTCAGATCTAGTCTGAGTCTCAGTTTTAAACCACTCCCCTCGTCCTGTTGCCGCAGGTCCTGTTAAAACACCTCTCCTCATCTTTCCCCTCAGTCCTGGAAGGTCTTGTCCCCTCCAGAGAGCGTGAGGAAGGCCAGAGCTTCTCCTACAAATCAGACGCCAGCGCTCGGGCAACTGCTTCTCACCCGTGGGCTCAGGCTCAGCGGGAAAAATCACCCACTTCTTCCTCGTGGAGGCACCGGGCCCGGCCCAGGGTCAGGCTTGAGAGCGACTACCCGCAGCAGACCCAGCGTCCAGCGCAGCCAAGGATTTCTGCGGCCGCTTTGGTAGGTGCTGATGAAAGGTCCGGGGAGGAGGGGACGCCCTCCAGGGTCCAGCCACCCGACGTCCAGGGCTTGGAACACCGAACACATCAAAGAAACCCAATCCACGCGGGTTTGGGGCGGGATAAGACGGGCAGCGGAAGCAAAAGCAATGCAAGAACAGAGCTGACGCCCTTCCAGAGAGCAGGCTCCGCTCCGCGGCGTCCGGCCAAAGGGACCTCGCCGACACCAGCGAGACTCCCCCAGGACCGCGAAACGTCGACTTCATTTCCGCCTCGGGTTCAAGCATCTGGCAGAGCCCAGGGTTAACGACCGAGGCGCTTGGCACCTACCTCCTCCTCGCGCTCATGTCCACCCG